CAAGTTAACACCCAGGGTCAATCCTAAAGCCAAGTAATCCTATAGGGACTCTTCTTGAATTCTCTTATAATGATCTTACCTACTAAATGCTAGAGGTTAAGATCAATATGTGGAATTTCAAGTTGAGTAAAAAGAAGAGTTTTGAATTTCTAATGGTGGGGGTACCTTTTCTAATTTTCTAAGACTAGTCAATAGGAAAGTCCTATGGCTAGACCTTGGCTACTAAAGAAGCTTTCTAGACCTCAACCAAAAGTGAGGTCAACACCCATCTAAAGTGTATAAGGTCTTAAGTTTTCATCCATGTTAGTTATCATTGAGTTCAAAGTTTGAAGCTATCATAGGGTGCGACTATAAAAATTAGAGATGGTCAATTTTAAATGTTTGAGAGGTTCAGTATTTAAGCAGTGTTTGTTTGATCCCTAAGTTTGTCAGCTATGATGTCAAATTAAAGTTTTTTTAAGGTTTTTAGTTTGAATTCTCTTGGACTGTCGATTAGTGTAAGAGAATCACAATTTTTTCTAAGGTTTGATCTCGGTTTTCACTCCTAAGTTTTCTTGTTCCTTTTTTCTAATTTTTTAAATATGTGTGGCCTAAGACTTCATACTTAGAAAGATTAAACATAAAATTTTCCAAGTTTGATGTTTCACACTTAAAAGTTGCTCATATCGTATTGAAAATATTTGTCTTTTTCAGGAAAAAAAAAAAGATTTTCTTAAAATGTAAGTTTGTTATGCAAAAAGACAATAGGATTTTACTTTCTATAATACATTTAGACTTAAAATGGCCCAAGATCCTTTTATTTCTAAGCCAAAGTTGGGAGTCATATGTTTTTTGGGAGAAAAAATAATCATTCATTAAACTCATTTTGTTAGGAAATATATAAGACTTGCCTAGGCTAAGTATTTAGAAGAGTTTGATTATATATTTTAATTGTTATGTGATCTAAAGTTTAAAAGAACTTTGAGTTTTGAAAGTGATATTATGTTAGTTGAAGCTTTGGAAAGATTTGTTTTTTGAAAAGTATTTTAAAATATTTAATCATTTTAAAAAAAGTTTTCTTTAGTAAAAGATTTCCTTTTATTTTAGTTTAGTAAAAGACTTCTAAATTAAAAATTAGTAAGTATTAATTTTGAAAAAAGGTTTTTATACTTGAATCAAGATTCTTAACGAGCTTTGAAAAAGCAAGCCCTTAATAGTTCTGTTATTCAACACATCCTTTATTCTTTTCTACATTTAAAATTATTAAACTTAAAGCTCTTTTAATTGAAGTAAAAAGAGAATAATTTTGTGTGAGTGATTATATTTTTAAAATTACAATTTTTAGAGCAATTTTATATGCTGTAGAAAAGTTTTTTATTGTGAAGTTATTTATACTTAGAAAATATTTTCATTTTTGGGCACTTTTAATTTACTTAAACATATAAAATAGATTTCTCTTTTAAAAATTTTTAGTTTGCCAAACTCTCTATAGCTTAGCTCTTTAGGAAATTCAATCTTCCTTCATGTTCATTCTTTTAACCACACATTTTTAATATTAAAGTTATCTCTCCTATTGCTGATTAAATCCAAACTTGCAAAATATAAAGTTAAACATTTGATAAGCACCCACTCATGCAAACATCATCAAAGGCATGCAAACCATGCACTCATGCAAACACACATTTATCATACATCCACATTTCATTACTCTTCTCACCGTAATGATAAGTGGGCCTCCACTGAGGACTCTCCTAAGAAAGCCAACCAAAGACAATATAAATGATCGAAGACAGTCTAGCCGACCGAAGATCCTCCAGTCAACGGAAAACGTGATAGCCGACCAATTGATTGTCAATTGATCGAATGACAACATGAGAAGGTCATTAAACACTTTTCCTTTTTGCATTTATAAATATGGAACGACGTCGGCGTCAGTTATGGATCCCAAAGTTAGTTACAAACATGAAGAAGTGCATCAATTATTTATAGTGTTCCTATTAAAATATGGGCAAATATGTAATTTGTGACACCCACTATGATCTATAAATAAGAGGGTCTTTTCTTCAAGAAGGAATTACTAAATCTATTCTAAAAAAAAAATTGTGTTACTATATATTCCATTTCTCTTCTTCTTTCTCTGTTCCTCCTCTGTCCAACGTTCTATTCTTTGGGTGTGATCCACATGACATTTTTGAGTTCAACACACACACACACACATGCACAAGATTTCTCTCATAAATACATTAGAGGATACAAATCCTCTCGCCAAGTATATGCACCAATCCAATCTCAATCATAACATATATCAATATAAAATGTATGTTTTTGGCATTGTCAAAAAGAATATTTACAATTTTTTTTCTCGTTTACACCTATAATATAAAATAGGGGCCCCTATAAAATAACTCAATGCAACATTATTTGTTCATTTATGTAGTTTACCTTTTTTTTTGAAGTGCTTAGGCTCTTTAGGTGCATAGAAAAATCTTACCTTTAACATCAAATTAGATAGCATTGAAGTCCAAATCCATTATTCAATCATACATAGTGCAATAATTAAAAAAAAAAAAATAAAGAATTATTTTATGAACTAAAAAATTATTAAATCCTTGCCTCCAAGACAAGGGCAAAATTTATCTAATATAATGATGATGTTTGCCTAATGCCTCCGAATGGGCCATTAAAAACTATAATCTTCATAATTTATTCCAGTAGCAAACATATTTGTAAACCTTCTTTTAATAACAAAGCATGAAAGCATCACCAAGTAAAAAACAGATATTAAACTAATTAGAGCACATTAACAACAAATCAAACCTCCAAGCTTACTTAAATAATAAAGTAATTTCCTCTTCCAATCAAATTGCAAAAAGAGCTTGAGCACCTGACAAACGGCCTGATTTGATATATGTTCGCAAATCCAGACAAAAATTCCGCCGCGGATTTTGAATCCGGTTCTGCATCGCCCTTCTAGGGCCGTGCCGTCTGTGACGTGACGGGTAAGCTGTTCCTCAAATACCCTTTGCAGTGCTCTAAGGATCATCCTTTTCAATCGCTCGTCTCGTTCTGGGGATGAAAAAGCTTCTTTCTATCTTTATCTGAAAAAAAGGGCTTTTCAGAGACGATTAATGGTGGGTTTTTCCCTATAGGCTTCCGTATACGCGGTATTCATAAAAGAGGTTTTTGATCTTGCCTCCAATTAGTCGATCTGGGCACTGTTTTCTTTCTCCTTTTTTTCTTTATTTTATTCAGAATGTGATTTGTAAGTTTGGATCTCCTGCTCTTCTCCATCCGATGCTTTGCATTGATGCAGGGAGCAATCATGGAATGAAATTTTCTGTGGATTGGGCGCAATCCAGCGGCCATACGGTCAGTTGGTTTACTTCCCCTTTCTGAATTTATCTTCTTCCCCATTTCTCTTTCTTCTGAACTTACACTCCACACCACGCCCCCCGCCAACCACCCCGCCCCCCCACCCCCCCACCCTCCAACACGACGATAGGTATTGTTAACATGGAGCTTGTTGAGAATGCCAAGGTTGGTTATATTAAATTCTTTCATTTTTTTTTTCACAAGGGTTCGTTTGGTTGCTTGTCACAGATAGTTTTTTTTTCCGGTTTTTGCTTTTTAAATGATAATTTTGTTTATTGTCATCTTTGTCCGTGAAATAAAATCATTGTTAACGAGAAATTTTAAAGATTTTCTTGGACTTTAAACGTGTATTGACTGTTAATTATGTCTATTTTTGTGGAATTTTAGAGCTGTTTTTAGAGTTAAAATTATATATGTCTAGTCAAGGGATGAAATGCAATAAATTCACCATTTTAAAACACTATTTTTAGTTTCACGCAATTAAAGCTAAAGATAGAAGATTCATTTCGCAACTAATATAAGTATATTATTTATTAGGTCATATGATTAGAGCAATCTTTAGGCTGATCTTTGCATTTTTCAAAGTGCACAAGGAATATACTTTATTTATTTATTCTGTTTATCTTTGATTAAGAGTTCTATTTCTGAACATAACTTTTTTCTATGATGCTTATCACCCCTTTGTGGCTATGAAAAGATTAATTTGCTGAGGTGCTAATTGAAGCTTGTCATGTCTGCACAGAGGATGTTGGTCACACAGTCTTTTTTATTATACTTTTAACATTGTTTGGCCATCTATTATGGGGTTACTATAAAATTTTTAGGAGAGTTTAGAAATAGAGTATGTTAATGGTGGGACTTGGTGGAGTGCGAGATACAAAGTGTTATCAAGGAAAACAAATGGCATTAAAAATTTGAAAAAAAAAAAATTTACTATTGACGATTATTGCAATAATTACTATTGACGATTATTGCAATTATAAGAAATCCAAAAATCCTTCAAAGAGAGTAGGTAGCAAAGCAAGAAAGTACAATTTTGATGATTTTTATAAGTCTTGGCGCTAAGGAAGAAGAAAAGGAGTTGTAGAAATACCTAAGGTAAGTGATAAGAAATTTATGAATTTTGATCACTTTAGTTGCATGAATAGTGTAGATAATATGATCTTGGATAAGGTTTATGATAATGGTGATGCCCATCATGACGATCTATTGTTTATGGCGTTATACCTGAGAAGTAGGGCAAATTGTTTTTATCAATTCTTATTGTAAAATTGGACTTTCGTCCATCACAATCACCTAGTTGAAAAAAGTTCAGAATAAATATTTAAGTTCAAATTTCTTCTTGTCTTGATTTCAAAACTCTGGTATAGTGTGTCGACTTATAGAGCATGAGGAATGATTTTGGTAGTGTATCACTAGCTTTAAATGATAATGATGGAACTATCTAGATCTGAATCATCTTTAAGCTCGTCATTTTCCTAAATGAATTATTTTCTATTTTAGTTAATCATTAGCGCCCCCTTATTTTAGTTTATAAGTTTGTTTTGGGTTGATTTGATATCCTTTGGCAACATGTGTTAAAATGGATAATATAATATGTTTTTCAATATTCATTCTTGGCACCTTGGAACATATTTTTCATTGAAGATAAAATGCTTGATTTAGTCCATAGTAAGACTTAAAGCTATGCGTTAAAATGTATATTGATGTTGTAAACTTATGACTATGAAGCACTTACTAGTATTAACAAATATTTGTGAAGTGATTCATGATGTATATGATTATTCATGATGTATATGATTCTTCAAAATATTAATAGCTGCTTGACTGTCCCAAACCATCTATATAAGCTTATTGGAGATACATCCCAGTTCCCTTAATAATTTCTGAATCCAGGTCTATTTATGGATTCCCAAGACAAGTTCTCTATACTCTAATTCGGTACTGCTTCTAAAAATAATTCTTACTTCTCTATGACACCATATTTCTCCATACATAGTAGTAGGAACCTAATGTGGACCTTCTGTTAGTGAGTTCTCCAACCCAGTTAGTATCAGTGTAAACTCCCACCTCTCTGTTCTTGGTTTTTTAAAAATTTAATTCATAACCATGAGTTTTTTTAGAAATCACAGAATTTTGTACACCATATCCAAATGTTTTTCATTTGGGCAGTTTAACTGTTGGCTCACAATACTGACAGAATATGCAATATTTGGCATTGAATGTGATAGATAGATGAGTTTTTTTACCAATTTTTGATATCTTCCCTTATCCATAAAGATACTTTCTTCCCACATCTTTGACTTTTGGTTGGGATCCATTGGAGCATCAGTAGGCTTACATCTAATCATCTTTGTCTCCTTTAGTAAACCTAAAATATATTTCCTCTGTGAAATAACGACACCTTGCTTGGATCTTGCTACCTCCATGCTTATAAAATATCTCACGGTTTCTAGGTCATAGATTTCAAACTCTGTGGCAATTACTTCTTTGATCTTGAGAAGTTCTCTTTAATCATCAATGATGAGAATCATTTCTTTCATATATATTATCGTTGCATCAATCTTATCTCAATGAATATGTTTTACAAACTGAGGATGATTAACTCGATTTTGAGAATCTCATCGTTTTAGCAAACCTTTCAGCCAGACTCTTAGTGATTGCTTAAGTTTATAGAGGGCCCTTCTGAGCTTGCATGCTAGTTGTTTGTTGGAATCTTTCTCAAGCCCTGTTGGTATCTACATATTCACTTCTTCCATATCCCCATTCATGAATGCATTTTTCATCTCAAGTTGATGCAATTCCCATTCATTATTAACTGTTACTGAAAGGAGAAATTTGATAAAGTTAGGTTTGACAATTGGTGCAATGGTCTTCTGATAATTGATTTCATGAGCTTGAGTGAAATATTTTGCAGCAAGTTTAGTTTTGAATCTCTCAATGTCCATTAGCTTTATCTTTGATGTCGAGCATCCATTTGCACCCAACAGATTTCTTATCTTGAGAGAGTTTAGTAAGAATTCATGTACCATTACATTTTAGTGCTCTATTCTTTATTTAACTGCTTTCCTCCATTCTAGATTTTAAGAGCTTCATAATTAGATTTAAGAATCTGCATACTATCAATGTTAGAAACAAAAATTTTGTATGATGATGATAACTTCTCATAAATTACATACTCCTGAATTTTATATCAAATATATCTTTTTTTGTCATCAACCTCAGGAGAGGAAGGGGCAACTCTTGAGTACTAGACTCCTTACTCGGGTTTTGATTGGAGCAATTTGGTCCTTGCAAGTTGTCTTCCACCTACTCAAAATTTTTCTTCCTCGTGTTCACATGAGGGGCATTGTTATGGATTTTAGATTGGGTTGGTTGGGCATCCTCAGTTTAGATATGAGAGCTAGCTGGAGTAAATAGTGAAATTGTAGTATTTTCTGGTAACAGGAGATTAGAACTTACACCCCTTTTTGTTGATATCATGCTCAAGATAAATAGAGTCATTTTTGTGTAATTTAGGGAATGGAAATGAACAAAGGATATACACTCAAAGATTTTAAGAGGTATAACATAAGAGGAAGCTCTTATGTGAGGATATGCAACATTCAAAACATGAAGAGGTTAAGTGTCGACCAACTTTTTCAAAATTGGAAAATAATTTTTAAATTTAATTTGAATGTAGGATGTATATAGTTTTGGTTTTGAAAGTAGCGTGCTTTAATTTTTGAAAAATGAGACCAAATAGATCTCATTCGTTCAATAGTTTGCATAATCGTGCCCGATACTACAAATACTACACATTTTTGAAAGATGAGTGTATATCCCGGCGATAGACCCAATCTTACAAACTAAGAGATTTGTGACATCCATTTGACCTGCAAACTTTTTATGAGTGACCAACAAGTTCCCCTACCTAATATAAATATTAGGTAGGGTTTATTTTACCGGGTTTCAAGTTTCCTATAAAGACAAAACTCTATAGTTAGTTACATCCCAAATGACGGGAGTCACTTGAGAAAACTCTCGATAATGATAAGAGGTATTAGCCTTCAAGAATTCAAAATTTAGGATTTCACGATAGGATGCATAATATTAAGTGGGAAAGAACCAAATAGGAAGTTATTTTCAAAAGTCCGAAGGAAGAAAAATGGTAGATGACTTTACAAATCCTAAGGAGAATCCTCATTAATTTCCCAAACTATTCTACTGTGTGACTGCACTTTGGAGGTGATGTTATTTAATTGTTTATTCCTGTCAGTTTTATTATTTGAGACTTACACTTGCATAATACCCGATTATCCAAATAACCTACAGAGATAGGAGAGTTTACGTTGTACCGGACGACAATCTCGGAACCTAAGGCGGTTAGGACTTACGCCGCGTAATATAGTTGCATAGAAACCTAAAGAAGGTGTGAGGATTTACGTCGCGCTGGGCGAGCTACCTCGAAGTCCTATGAGTTGCTATTTAGACTAGGAAAGTTTAGCTGGTGTAGATTTGCTTTATTGTCTCGAAGATATCCTGCATGTCCTCTTCGTGCTGCCCACGGCGTATGCTCTAAGCTTTTCGTCGAAGTAGCAGTCCTAAAGTCTAAGATTCAAAAGATTTTACCAATTATGTTTCAAAGTTTTTGTTTATTGTCGTTTAAGCATTATGGGGGGTTAAAGTTGATTAGAGCGACACCGATTATGATCCCACGGTTCCCTCGTTTCGCTACCCCTATTTTATTTTGAATTTACTAAGTCTAAATGGTTTTTTAAACTCATTTAAATTGGAGAAATCTCGTTAGCAACCGTGGGTTACCTCATCCGATGGACTCCCGTAAATTCAAAGAGACATGTTATGTTTTTTTTTTTTTGGTTATTTTGAAAAATGTTGTTTAATTTTTTGAAAAATAGGTTTTGTAATTTTCACTCTTTTTTGCTTTGAAAACGAAATTGCGGCCAGACATGCGTGTTATATATTAAAGCAAGAGTAAATTACAGTGATTGAAAAAT